CTCCTTACAATGCAGATGCCTTAGATGCTGGAGCACGGCGGCCCCTCCCCTCCCTCTTATACCGAAACCCCTAATTCTGGCATCTGTGAGGTCCTCGTCCTCGCTGGCCATGATGTTCTTAAGCTATGACACCAAAACCTTCAGGTTGGTAGGGAGCTTCCCTTCTTTGCCTCTGCCTTGACCACTGGCCCCTGAGAGTGGGAGGATTTGACTGACACGAGACATGGGGTCCGGGAAGCAGACCAGCTTGCTGTGGCTGACGTTTGCCTTCAGCTTTGTGGTAGTGACTATCTAGTCTCTTACTGGAGTTAGGAACTCTGTGTTCCTGCAGTTAGGCAGATGGCAGGGCAACCTTAGGCTATCAAGCTTGGCTTCTTACAAACTTTGTTCATTCATTCATTCATTCATTCACTTACTCACTGATATTTCTTGAGCACGTACGTCATGGTCAACCCTGTTCCAGGTATAGGGAGCAAGTGGTGCAAACCCAGATACAGTCCCTGTGTTCACAGTCCTTACACAACAGTGAGGAAATAGATGTTAACCAGTTATACAAACGGATAATCACAAAAAGAGGTGAGAACTATGGAGAAAAAGAACATGGTGGCTCAGGGACATGCAAATAATGAAGAAACCTGACCTGGTCAAAAGGCCGAGAAGAATTTTCCCCGAGGTGGTGGCCATTTGCTGAGCTCTGAAGGATGAACTGGATTTCACTGGGTGTCAAGGGCCAGGGGTGGGGAATGGGTTGGGGGAGAAGAAGAGGGCCCCAGATAGTGGCAGAGGCCAATGTCACAAAGCCCAGAGGAGGATGTGGGAGGCAGGACCCAGGCGTGAGATCTCTGTCTTTATTCTGAGCAAGGAGAAAATGTTAAGGAGGTACCCACACGGTCACGGTTGTGTTTGAAAAGTCCCTCCAGCTGCAAGGTAGGGAATGGAGTCTGAAGTGGAGTGAGAAGATCAATATAGCCTTACCACCTCCCTAAAACACAGGGTCTCATAGCAATGATTAAATTTTGGGTGTTGGACAGTTGAACATATTTATTAATATACTTAATCAATCAAAATTTGAGACAGAGAGGGTAGAGAAAACTCAGAAACCACTTATATAATTGATTCCTTTCTGGGTCACTGAAAGACCTCCCTCTTTAACTCATCTGTATTCTGGGTCCTGCTTTACGGAGGATTTTCAGAAGAGTTCCATACTATATAAACAGCATTGGGCTGGGAGGTCAGAGACCTGAGTTCCTGTCCTAGCTGCCTCTCCAACTCGGTTTCCCTGGGTACTGAGCCTTCTTACGATTGCCTCTGAGGAGCAAGTGAGATAAAATACGAAAAAGACTGAACAGACAGACACAAGGGCTCAGAGATGCTGTTTTCTTACTGACAGGCATTATTTAAGTAGTGATTAAGTAATAAATTTTGAATATAATTTATATATGATTTGATTGATGAATATTAGTGTGTAGATTGTTTTTCTACAGCTCTAACACATAAAGACACAAGGATCTGTAGTCTACTGTTTTTGTTCAACACTCAAAGTACACAGTTGGCATCAGGTGCGAGGGCCACCTTGGCTAAGATGAGCAAAATTGTCTTCCATTTCCTGTTGTTCGCTCTCAGGAAGTCTCCTGCAGTTTCCTTTGAGGAATCTCATCTAGCTGGAAGCAACTGCTACTATAGGTTAGGAAGTACCCATTCTTTTCTTCTTGAGAAAGGTAAGCTGATATCTTGGATTTTCCAGGGCAAAGCTGATTTCAAATAGTACATCGTTTTCCCCATAAGTACACTTACCTGTGGAGAATCTTCTGCCCTGATTTTTGGGTCAAGAATGATGGTCATTATAAGTGTGTTCAAACTCTGCAGAGATTATACGTTAAAGCCAGTTCAAAGGCAATCCCATGTCCGGGAGGACTGGTGGAAGATACTCTCAGTTCATCGATTTCCTATGCATTCATTCACTGCTGGGGAGTTTTCTGAGTAAGATTTTCGCACTTACAAATTGCAAGTGGGGAGGGAGCCTCAGTTACACAAGATGACAGAAATTCTACACAATCCATCATGCAACTGGCCTCTTATTCTCAGCTAGCAAAAATAATTGCTTTATTAACTTATTTTCACAACTGCATGCTATCTCAGTCTATTCTTGTTTTAAAGAAAACAACCTGGACAACACAGAGAAAATTCACTTAATTGCATTTAAAAGGAAACACTGCTTGAGTCCTTTATGGTACTACCTCCACCCTTCAGCACCAGCCTCTGCCTCTCCAAGTGATAATTAGGCATTAGAAGTTGGCTGTGTGATCTCAGCCAACAGCTTTTACAGGGTGTCTGGATTTAAAGAAAGGCCCTGTGTGAAGCTTTTGAAAAACAGCTCAATCTCTCAGGTCTAGTGCCTCCTCCTCTCAGGTAGCCTGGGTTTCAGGTAGAGGCCTTCAGAATGAACAATGGCCAACTGCTTTGCCAGTTCTTTGGGATGGTTTTAATTTGAGCCTTCTCTCTAAATGGACTGCCACATAATGCATTTAATTTCTTATTATGACTATTATTTGTTTGGAGGGAAGTTGTTCACAATGTGCTGAAGACTGTTTTAAGTGGAATGTAATTCTAATCATTAAACCTCTACTTTACTTGGCCAGAAAAGGGCCACACAGAGAAGGGAAGTGGGGGAGGTTTGGCTTCAATCCAAATCGTCCCAGTGCCGTCCAGGGTTCGTTATGTTTTGGATGGTTTTGCCTCTCACCATTCTGTGTATGCTCATTTGAGATCAGGACTCTATTACAAAGGCCATCTTCCCAGAAAGAAAGGGCTGGTCTTTCTTCCTTTCTTCAGTTAAGGCTGTGCAAGCGATGGGATCTCCTTACCTGAAGTCCTTCTTTAGGAGCTGTGAGTTGATTCCACGTAGTAACTGCTACCCATTTAGTACCCAGGCAATGGGGATACGGCAATACAAAAGGCACAGTCCATTCTCTGAAGGTGTCTTAAAATTAATCCTAAGTTACAGTTGGATAGGGTGTTTTAGCTTACAAAGCCCTTTTCCATACATTATCTCACTTAATTCTCAAATTATGAAAAAGGCAAAGTAAGAATTATCATTCTCATTTTCAAGATAAAGAACCAGACTCAGAGAGTTCCAGAGACTTGCTCAGTGCCACACAGTTGAGGCTAGAACCCAAGGCCTCTGTTTCTACAACAGCCAGTCTACTTTTCATCCCAGCCCAGGAAATCAGAAAAGATGAGGGCTTTTGTGAGTAGCCTTGGAATTTATTGAGCAGCCTGCAGCCATGGCTGCAAATGTACTTCATGTTTATATAGCAAATCTACTAGGATGAGAGTGCATCTGTGTTTTCTGAGTGAGGATCCCATGGTAAAGATTGCCATTGGTGGTGATATTATCCTATTATCCACATATGTATAATTCCTTTCGGTTTCTGAAAGACTTTATGGAGGCCTGTTTTACCACTTATGCCTCAACCAGCAGACTGGCCACAATTTTATTGCCCTCCCCACAAAGCTGTGATTGGAGCCATCAGAAGTGGGAGTGGAGCACTGGCATCAAAAAGGCCAGAGATCATTAGGAACACAACATGGGTCTTCACTAGGGGCTCCAAACTCAAGTCAATGGATGAAATGTTCCAGGTGGGGCATGCGGCAAACCTGGGAATACAACCTTCTTCTAAAATGGGCATCAAGTACTTAGTTCCAGCTGATGGTCGCCATGTTTCTATTCAGGCCCAAAGTGGCCAGGTCTTGAGATGTTTTTCCAAGAGAATGTGGAAATCTAGAATTTTATGTACATTCTCTTGTTTGGATTGTCAAATATTAATAGCTAATCCAAACATTATTAAACTTCTGTAGGACAAACAAAAACAAAAACAAAATAAAACCAAACCAAACCTGGTGAGTCTCTTTGTAATTTCAAGTGAGGAAATAGGGTATTTTTAGGAGAAATGCAGCAGGACATTGAGATGTGGGTAGAAGTATCTTTATTTCCAGCGGGGTACTACATCTTTTTCATCTTTGTGAGGAGGACAGAAAGGCAGAAGGGATTAATAAACTGTTGGAGCCAGAGCATATACAGACCTTCCAAATTATCCCTCTTAGGTGTGACGATTTGAATTTCTACTTTTCCTCCTGTTAATAATAGTTCTCACCTTTCTCACTGTCTATTCCCTGGTGCGTGAAGCACATGTGCAAAGCCTTCCCATGGGCACCCACAGATTGCAGGCTGGGGTAGGGGCTATATACAGAACCCTACTCACTAGCTAACGACACACTTTTCCCTCCCATCCAAGAAAGCATATTGGAAGCTAAGTAAGTCTAAAAGTATCAGAATGGTCTTCAGTTGACCTTAATTTTTAAAAAAGTAAATTCATCACAAACATTGGTATTTTACCTATCATCAGTAATGGCTTACTTGTGACCCAACTCACAAATGTCAGGACAGCGTGGTTAAGAACTGCTGTTTTTAAAAGCAAAAACTAATTATGAGGACATACTGCTAAGCTTCCCAAACAGACCAGCACTCTCTTCCTCTGGTATTTTTGAGTGAATACATCAAGAGCTGGGCTGACTCTCACAGCTCATAAATTCACCTTTTAAGGTATCTGTTACAAGGATATTAGAAATGTCACCAGAGACACTTGAACTCTTAAGATAGGACAGCAGAAATAAAAGTCCATGTTCCCCAAAGCAGTCAGTGAGTTACAACCCAAACATTCTAATCTCTCTAACTGACAACAGGGAGTCCCCACTTGGACTGGTGTTTGGATGAAACTAAGTCAAATCCTGCCCAGCAGCATAAACCAACAAGTAAACATATCCATGTTATCCATGTTCTTTGCTCCATGAATTGACCCAGAAAATGAAGAAACTGAAGACCACAGCTTTCCCTGTTACCCCCTGATTTAAGAGAGAGACAAAGAAGTTACCAGCAGTTTGATGCAGTGTGTCTCTAGGGGAAAAAGCGTCTGGATCTTAAAGTCAGACTAAGATAAAAATGAGAGCAGAAACAAATCTATTTTTTTTCTCTAGGTCACTGTAGGGAACTGATCTAACCTATTTACAAGGGGTCTCAGGGGAACTGTCTCTAAATAGCTATCTTGTCACCATCCTTTTCGTCATCTTCCGTGATCGCTTTGGGTCTCTCATCCCTTAGCAGTGTCACACCTGCAAAACAAAGCACAGACCTGCAATTAAGTGCCTCTAATTAAAATACTAGACAAACGTGCAGCATAGACACAGTACGCAGCAGCATGGCAACCCAGAAACCTCCTAGTGCCTGCGAAGCTAACTGCTAGAGGTGCCAACTGAGAGAGGGGGAGATGGTCCTGTTCGGCCTTCCCAGAGGTGCTCAGTGAGGACACCACTCCGGTTACAAGGGGATGTACAACCTGGGGGTCAGAGCGACCTTTGCCCTCTTCTCTAAGCTCTGCTCCTGCGCCTGCAGCGCCATGGGATGGAAAGCATCTAGCTGCTTTGGACTTATGCTTCTGCCACTCATGGAGTCTGTGCCAGGCCCAGTTAGCACACTCATATCTAAATTTTCTCATATGTAAAGTGGTGAGGACACTAATAATTATCTTAAAGGGTTGTTGTGACAATTAGGTAAGATGCGTGCAACAATGCTTAGCAGCGAGCCACACCTTGAGCAGCTAAATGTCTATTTTTCCTTTCCCTTCACAATTTGCTAGTTTATTTTCCTTTTGAAAAAGAACCGGTAAGCCTCATAAAGTCATAGTTAAAAGTATTTTAATAACATCCGGGGGAAATATTGAGCTGAGGGTCTGGACGTGCCTTTTCCAAATGTCAGTACTGTACCAGTCGATGATAAAGTTCACACGGTTCAGAGAGAAATGAGAAAATAGGGAAAGTGTAGTGAGTTTTTTATATGGCTACAATTTAAAAAGCTATTCTTTATTTTGAGGTTATTCTTTTCCTTCTTTTGGGGATACCCCTTCTTTTATGAAGTTTTAGAGATGTTAGATGGTTTTCTAAAGCATCCTTATTAGGCAAAATAAAATGTTGCTGTTCCTGTGTTGGGCTCCACAATATATATTTTTAAAAGTTTACTGGTCTGTGAAATTCGGAAGTCTGAGCACTATTTTCTGGACTGATCAGCCCAGAAAAGACCAGCCAAGCAGGTCTGGGTGGTTCTGCTCATCCCACTCCGGCCATCCAGCGTCGTTTCCCCACCGCTGCCTGGCACATCCTCCCTCCCTCTCCTCCCAGTTAGAGACCTTTCAGTCCGTGATGCATTTCAGAAAGTTCTAAACTGGAGAGAGGGAAGCTGCGCACCACAAGAGGACTTTCTGTAACACTGGACTCCATTCAACAGCAGCAAATTAATGAACTACGTGCTGATCTTAATGACTATTCATTTGATTCAGTTCCTAGTTTGTTCATATGGGTTCTTTACCAATTAGCTGATATTTATTGGAGGAGAAAAACAATTTCAAGAGTCTGGCTGAAATCAAGGCTTTTGTGCTTATGAAACACAGTGGGAGATATTTTCTCTGATACCCGCTGCATAGTGGTTTGAACTTCTATTTGGAATTAAGGCTAGCATGGCAGGAGACCACAGGGCTACGCTGAGCCCCAAAACTTCCCATCCTTCCTTCCTGGTATCCTTCATGTTAAGCCAAATTTGGGTTGATTTGAAATGGGCAAGAGCCTTTAAATTCCCAAATCCTGGTCAACTTTCTGGTTACTTGGGGTATCCTTAAAACCTAGTCACATGAGAATCTGCTCCCTGTGCCCCTTCGAAGTCCTGGGATTTCAGGGAGAGGAAGATCCTATTAAATCATCAAGGCTGGCCCTTCCCGAAGTTGGCTAGGCTGTCCACAGGGGCACAGCAGATCATTTCAAGTGGAAAGTGAACCAGCATTTTATATTAATATAGTTAAGCATTAAGATTAGTGTGTTATAATAAAAAATATGTAGTAGCTCATTGAATCTTGATTTCACAGGTATTGTTGTTAAGGATGAGGCTTAAATCAAGAGTATATATATATTGTCACTGCATTCTTGTGATCTGAAGATGACTCAGGTTTGGGAAGCATTGGTCTGGTTTAACCCCTTCCTGATCCTTGTGCTTTCCTGTGGGAAGCAGAGGTATGTTGTTAAAGGAATGTGGACCCTAGACCCAGAAAGCTTTGCCTTTGGTGGTAACTCAACCTTGGGCAGGTCCCTTAAGCTATATGAGCCTAGGCTTGTTCATGTGAAAATTGGAGAAAAAATAATCTGTATCTCCCACAGGGTGTAATGCCCCAAAATAGACATAGGCCCACGTTCTTGTGTGCTCCAGCCACATCTTACATGAACTTCTGTTAAAGTACTTTTCACCTTGTAGGAACGATTGGACAATACATCCATCTCCCTTGCTGAACTCTGAGGTTCTCAAAGCATATTCTAACATCTGTCACAAGACTTTGAATACAGTAGGGATTTAGCAAATGTCAGTTTCTTCCCTTCTCCTTCTCTCCATACAGAAGAGCTTGGGAAACTTGACTGTTTATAAGAGCTTGGTGTGTTTTAAGGCCAAGGCTACCAGTCTAAGGTCTCTAAGGCCCAATGAGCCTTGCAGCAAGCTGTTTCAGAGCATGATCCTACTCAGGGAACCATCTAAAACTGTTCACGCACATTACAGACATGTGCCTCTGATCGGAGGGAGCCAGGGCTAAAAGCACCACCTTTTCTGATAAACCACGCCAGAGAGAACGCTCTGTTACCAGCAGGACAGTAGAGGTGTTACTTTCCTTTGCACAAGTACAATATTTTGATCGTTGATGCCCCAACCTGCCCAAATGTTCATAGATCATGGACCAATTTTCTAGAAGGCCTCTCTTCAATGCTTCCAGCCTCATTGTTCTTTACTTTGCCTCATTCCATTTGCCTCTGCCTCAGACCTCAACTAAAGACTTCTTTCTCTCTCAAGCAGGCCTTGGCTACCCAGATCTAAGCAGTCATAACCATGCTCCCTGCCATACAGTCACCAAGGCGGGGGCCCTGGCAACTGTGGGCCAAGTGGGGAGCAAGCCTGGGGCTGGCATAGAAGCCTGAGGTGACTCCCCTTTCAGGGGCTGTTCTGGCAGTTGGCACCTGTCAAATAAGCTCATTAACCTAGGGGAATGAAGATAGTTAGCAAGGGATTTAGAAGAGAGAGCGAAGCCTTGTCCAGTTTTCACTTGCCAAGGGCTAATGAGAGGAGATGTCTCCAGAGTGCATTTGTCTGTGAGTTTCTCTCAACACCCTTATCGGAACCAACGTGAGTCTTTCTGAACATCTGCCGAAGGCTCTATCCTTATCAGCTTAACCAGCATTTGGATCACTGTCAGATCTTTAGATACTAAAAGACTCTTCAAAAAAAAAGTACTTCAGCTAATATGCTAATAAAAACTAGAATCACACAACAATATTCGTAATTGCACATACTTACAACACAGAGATTTGCTGATTCAAGGAAGTCCATGATATGTAAAGTCTATGGATATACAGCCCCTACAGCCCCCATCCCCAACTATTGTTTATTCTGCATTGTTTGATAACATTTTTGATTCAATAGGGAAGCTGCTCTTTTAGGATTTAGATATTGGGATGTAGGCAGCACCCATTGCCAGGTTAACAGAGATCAATACTTTAGAAAGTTCCTTGAATCGGCAAGTTTAGATGGAGTGGTAAAATGCTTGGAGAATTTTCACCTTCACAAATGGTTTGATTCATCCCAAAGAATATAAGATTAAATGGAGAATGAAGATGAACTAACATTTGTTGAGAGCTTTTGTTATGTCAGAGACTCCGCTAAGTGCTTTTTATACTTTAATTAATTGTAATAGCAACCCTAAGGGACAGATTTTATGGTCCTCCTTTCAAGGGTAGATAAAATGAAGGAGGCTTTTATAGTTTATGTTGATTGCCCAGGGTCACAGAGCTAGTGCAGAGCAGAACCAGAGACAAAACCTAGACCTTTCTGATTCCAAAGCCCATGTTCAATTTTGTCTACTAGGATGACTCCTTGCCCATAAATACTTTTGTCCCTCTACCAAGTCTTCCTTTAGAAGGTCTTCAATGAAAATAGATACAAGAATGGGCAGAAAATAATTAGTCTCCATCAGGGACCGCAAAATTGTGATTGTCAAATAGAATATCAAATTAACAGATACATATTTAGCATTGCTATATAGAAATGAGTGGAGTAGACACCAAGGTCAATACTGGAAACACAAGACTATCACAACCCAGTCCTCATGAATTCACCAAGCAAGTTGTTGATATAAGTCAATAAAAACAGCAGCTACAATAACAGCAACAAGGACAATAAAGGCAACACTAAAAGAGATGACAAAGTCTTGGGTATTTGCATGGCCATGACTAATAACAGAGTTAGTTCAGAATAGAAAAGAATCATTTTGGACTTAAAAGGGTCTGTTAGCAGAGGCTTTGAGCTGGCTGAGTCTTAAAAGGTAACTGGACCTGGGCAGAGGCAGAGGTTTGATGGAAATATGTGATCACATAGAGGATCAGTGTAGGTAAGACTGCATGCTACCCATGAGAAGTGCAGTGGAAGCAGGTTCAGACCCTCTGACCTGGTCCTTGGACCATTTCTGCAGAGAATGTCTTCCCATGTTCCACACCACCTTGCCTGGCAAGTCAGAAAAAATGTGGCCCTGTCTATCCCTCTCATTTTATTTAGGAACAATAATTCTTTGAGAGAGGCAAAAAACAAAGGGTGAAAAACTGATTTAAGGTGTATATAATTCTAAGGCAGAATTTCTCATAGTGTAGATAACCTTTAGAATGATTATACTAATAGGCAGTAGAAAAAAATTCTATGGCAAGTATATCCGAGCTGGGTTATACACAAAGTGATTCCTTTGCTGCAGGACTTTTCAGGGATTTTATCACAGGCATACCTCAGATACTGCAGGCTTGGTTCCAGACCATTACAATAAAGTGAATATCACAATAAAGAAAATCACATGGATATTTTGGTGTCCCAGTGCATATAAAAGCAGTTAGGCAAGATGAATAGGCTCTAAAGATCTGCTGTACAACTTTGTACCTATGGTCAACAATAAAGTATTGTGCACTTAAAGATATAAGTGTTTTTGCCACAATAAAAGAAAATTTAAAAAAGTATAAACTAAAAAAAAAGTTATATTTACACTATG